CCCAAACTTGGAAGCAACTAAGATATCCTTCAGCAATGAGTGGCATATCCAGACAATGGGATATTAGTACTAAACAGAAAGTGGCTATCAAACCAGGGAAAGACATGGGAGAGTAGATTGCGTGCCAGCGCAGAGGCATGATGTTTTAGAGCAGTGAAAATGTTTTGTGTGTGCTTAGCATGAACTGGGCCCTGGGTTCAATGCCCAGCACTGCCAGGAAAACAGGACTCAGGTGATGCTGGAACCAAAGCTGTATCTGATGCAGGCCTGCCTAAACGCAGAATGTGCACCATGACGTTAAATGATGAATCAAGATCAAATCTTCAGGTGTAGCGATATCGCTCCGTGGAGGGGGCAGTGGGTGACGGTGGAGGCTGTGCAAGCTTGTGGGGTGGAGACATACAGGTCATCTTTGGATGTTACTTTCTGTCTTTGGAGAACTCGAAACTGCTGCAAAATAATAGAACCTTAAAAAAAAAAAACACAACAACACCCAAACGAAATGAAGCGTGGCACGTGAAGGTGAAGTTTCATGACTGTGTCCCTGGGAACGGCAGCGTCAGGGTCCATGGACATCCCTCCACCTGTTAATTACTCCGAGCTAGAGGCGCTTCCCAGTCAACTGCCCCAGCTCATTTGTCTCGCAAAAGTGGACAGACGCAGACAGCCTGAGTGACTTGTCCGAGGTGGCTTGCTGGTCTTCTGTGTCATGTGGAGAGGATGCCTTAGGAGTCACAAGAGGCTGGGGGTGGGGCTAATTACAAGTGAGTGAAGGGTGCAGAAGGGTGTAAGTGTGTTAAAGTCACTGACACAGACATTAGCAATGAAGGTTGTCTGGCTGGAAAGTTGCATCCCAACAAAGCTGCTGAGAGCGGAAAATCCAATTTAGGGAATTTAAAATTTAGGTTAGACTTTAAAAAAAAAAAGTGACATAATCCCAGCACTTGGAGGATAGAGGCCAAAGCTGCACAGTGTGATCCTATGTCTAAAACCCTACTCAACCAACCAACCAAAACAAAACAGGGGTGGGTATATGGCTAAGTCAATCAAGTACTCTGTCTGTGCAAGCATGAGGACCTGAGTTCAGATCTTGGCACCCATGCAGAATGTCAGGCGCAGTGGCTCAGGCTTGCAATCCCTCTGCAGGCAGATGAGGACAAGCGGATCCCTGCGCTTGCTGCCAGCCAACCCAGCTGAATCTGTAAGCTCTGGGTTCAGTGACAGCCCCTGCTTCAAAAGCAAGGTGAGGAGTGATTGAGGGAGACACCTGGCATAGACGGCTGGCTTCTGCCTGTACACATGTGCACACACCACACATACGTGGGGAGGGGCACAGGAGAAGATTTCCCCTGAAGATTGCAATGAGCAGCAAGAACTAAGAAGCCACTGCAGCTGATAACCCTGGGGCTATGTCCATGAGCATGGGGTCTGGCAGACAGTGTGACCACATTGTCATACTTTGAATAGGCATAAGTCCCCAGAGCTTGCTTCCTGAATTCCTGGGGCAGTGGGTGAGCATCACCTATATGGGGGCCTTTCAAGTTTCTTTTGCTGTCTGTACCTCTTTCTCCCAGAGCGGTATCTGCTCTTACAGCAGGAAATCCCTGTTTCTATAAGTTGAAAAAGCACGTGGAGTCGCATCATTGCCCACAAAGCCTGGCTTACAGACGAGTCGGCCTGGTAATTCCTTTCTTGGTTTTACAGCTTCTAACCTAGAGAGGGCATGGGTTGCAGCACACTTAGTCTTTCTAGCCACAGATGCTTTGTTGTCTCTGCTGCGTTTCTCAGTCTAACACACATGAGAGAAACCTCAGAAGGCCACTGTCTGAGGACTCAGCCTGTAACGCTGGACCTAGAGACTCACTTGTCTGAGACATATCCAGAGCTGCCTGGGGGCCACTGGGCACCAGCCTTGACTCATGGGGACTACTGTATAGCTATTTCTCCTGAGATGAAACATTCCATCTTGGAGGAAAGCTCCTTAAGACACAGGATATCCTAAGGGGAGACAGAACATTTCATCCTTCAGGGACGCTCTTTAAGATCAGAAAGCTAACAACTTAAAGGCTTCAGAAAGTTCCTAAAACTGAACAGACTCACTAGCGCCCCCCAGGCATATATAAAAAGCAAGGACTTCTGAGTGATGACCAGCAGATCTGCCTAGAAGAGGCTCTGGCCAACGGAGCTACCTGGAGAAGACACTATGACCTGTTAAGCCGTGGTGTGCTCCCAGTTTCTAGCCCTCATGAGCTATCGCCCATGCTGCAGTGGATTTTGGTGATTGTAGCTGCCTTCGAGTGTTTCTGCTCTGGTAGGTAACCCCTTATCTATAACCTTTTAAGTAAACCAGGTACACTCGTTGGTTCATCACCTGGGCTCTGGCAGTATCCTCACTGTTACTGGTTTCTCGTCTGGGGTAAGATGCTTGTATTGCCATACGATAGGAAGTATGGGCTTGCAGTAGCAGTTTGTGCCATGGCTGGGATGGCCCTCAGACTCTACCCGGTCCATAGTACCCGTGCCACAGTGATGATTTATGGGATTCACCCCTCCAACCTCAGGCTGGTTTTCCCTTTAGATCCCTTCCAATGCACTGTTCGGAACCAAAGTACTTGATGCTGTCAACTGGCTGGTTCCATAAAAAAAGAATCCAGTTTCCTTTGTACTACTGAGAAGCTGTTAGCCCCTGGTCAGGGTCCAGCAGCTGCACTCCAGAGGTGCAGCCCACACACCTGGTGAGGATGCCAAGGTTCTCAGGCAGAGAGGAGTCAGCTGACCTGAGAGTTTTAATCAAGAAGGGTCCTGGCCAGCAATGTTACCAAGTCACAGCCTGTGCTCCGGAAAGGGGTCTTCCCACTGAGATGCCAAGACCCTGACAGCCAGCACCTGATCCCAGGGAGGACAGTGTCACTAAGGAGGACAGGATCACAGTAAAAACAATGACCAGCAGCTGGAACACCAGGCAAAGCCATCTGCCCTCTGCCAGTCTCAGTTTCCTCATCTGAAATATGGGAACCATCACCACCTCCCCACACAGGGCAGGCTTCTTAGGAGGGAGGCGAGAGAGTGGAAGCTCTGATGGCGGCATTGGAAGGCAGCGCCACCTGGAGAGAGTTTAGGGATCGGATTGTCACGACACTCAGTGGGACAGCCAGGCTGATCTTTAGCACTCTTGAGCAAGGACCGAGAGTTTCAGACCTTGGAGGCTTTCTACTGGCTGTTCCCACTGACTTCAGAAGTTATGGCTGTAGAAGAAACGGTATCTATCTGAACTAGGGGGTCAAGTCTTAGAAATTCAGTCCTTTTTCTCTTCTTTAATTCCTTCCTTTCTTTTCTTTCTTTCTTTCTTTCTTTCTTTCTTTCTTTCTTTCTTTCTTTTTTTTTTGAAAGAGAGTCTCATGTATCCCAGGCAGACCTTGATTTCGCTCTATAAATTGCAGGTGGCTTTCCCTCTACCTTCCTGGTGCTGAGAATACTGGTGTGTATTGCCTAGTTTATGTGGTTCAGGGAGTGGAATTGAGGGCTTCACGCATGCTGCGCTAGACAACCTGAGCACATTCCTTTATCCACTCCCGGTTTGTCTTTGAACAATCTTTTGTGGCTTTGGAGTTACTTAGAAACTTTGAACACTGGCCTTCTCTGCTGTGGGCCTCAGTTTCCCCTTCTGCATAATAAAGAGATTAGGGGAGGCACCTCTAAGGACTTTTTCCGACTCTCACAGCCAAAGACGCGATTTGAGCAGGCACCCCTGAATCGCTGCGGTGCTTCTCACTCACTGAGAGCCCTGTCCCTGTGCCACAAGAAACTCTGCCAGCAAAGGCCTCTTCAGGGATTGGCAGGGAGTGGTTCCCACTGGAGGTCAACATCCCTTTGGTCCCCACCGAGGGGCTTGCTTGCCTGGGAACGCACGCCTGGCTTGGATCGCCGCCTAACGCTTCCATTCCCAAGCACTTCCAGCTCCTTTCAGTGCCGGGATTTTACAGATCTCAGTGCCAGTTCACACACAGGGAGGCATCCGGGTGGGGGTTGTTGCCCTTATTTGCTGGGGGGTGGGGTTGGAAACACATCTCAGAGCGGTGAGGGGGCCTTTCCAGGCTCTCACAGGCGACCTTCGAGTGACTGCTGGATCGGGATAGAGCTTCGGAAAGGATTTTGTGGAATCAGCTGAAGCCAAGCTTGTGACCCCCTAGCCCCGCCCCTTTTCAAGCTCTGCTAGAGCCCAGGGTACATCTCGTGTTGAGGTTAACCTGCGCACTGGACTCATGAGTGTAACCCTCCGGGACTCATGGCCCACCGGATGTTTCTCTGGGGCTTCTAAGCCTCCCTGATGACGTGATGGGAAGGAGACTAGAAGGGGGAAGAGGAGATGGTAGAAAGAGAAAAGGACAGACCGCCACACTGCACGGAGGGCCATCGCCCACTACTGATAAGGAGGTGCCCAGATGGCAATCTTCAAACCGTCCTGACAGTGGACCAGACGTCCTGGAAGTCAGTTCCTCTCAGTTTTAATAGCCCATAACCCTACTTTTAGAAAGACATTGCCAACATGTGCACGTAGGCCTGAGGTGGCTGTGAGGAACACTCCCAGCGTTCTGATTCCACGAGCTACAATGCACCCATCTGAGCGTACACACCACCTTATTAAACAGGAGTCCAATCAAGGTCTCCGGGACCCATTACAGAGTAAATGAAAACAACATTATTCATATATGGTCTGACGTCATTTGGGCTTAAAGGTGTATGTAGGGAAGAGTTCTAGGTGGATGAATACTAAATAAAAGGAACGTGGGTGGGAAAGTCGGAATGGGAGTTAGGAATAAAGGGGGAAGAGAAAGCGATGGAAACCGGAAGAGGGAACAAGGGTGCATAATGGTGCGAGAAACTGAGGGGACAGTTTGGGAGACGACGGAGGGACAGGTAGGTTACTGGAGCTAGAAACGATGACACTTATGTATGGAAATGTCATAGTGAAATCCTTTTAAAATGTGGGTCGGGAGTACCTCAGAGAAGCGCTGCACGTCCTGCGTGAGTGTGCCCACGCGCCGCCATCGGAAGTGCTTCAGCATCTTCAGGATGGCCGGGTTCACCGCGTTGTCAGAGGGCACCGTCCGGAAGAAATATGGGTACTTCTTCTTGTCCGCAAGAACAGGCGTGGTGGCGGCGAAGGAAAGCTGCGAAAACGAAAAAGGACACTTTTATTGGGGCCTTGCACCTAGTCCTTCCTGGCAGCCATTTCTCACTTGGGACAAGAGTGGCGTGAGTCTTTGTGTAGGTGCGGGTGCCTGAGGATACCAGAAGAGGGCGTCAGATGCCCCGGAGCTGGAGTTACAGGCAAATGTGAGCTGGAAACCAAACTCTGGTCCTCTGGAAGAGCAGTCCTGACTAGAAGATGTAAGAATGTAAGGTAAGGAGAAAGGGGTTGGACGGACCAGCGAGCTACACCTCCCCAATGAAATGGAACCATTAATGCTGTGACCTCTTTCATTCCAGCACTTTCTCTGTGAACAGTGCTTTGGTTTGCGCGTCTCTTGTTAGGCTCTTCTCTATATACAAATGAACAGTTTCCATTTAAGCAAGGGGACATCCAGCCCGATAGTCTCTCAGCGTTTTATTTTCACCACCATTGTCTGGCATGTGAACACACCAGTTCTCTGAGTCGTCTTTGATTTAGGGACATTAACGCTGTTTAGTTGGCCACGCCTGTCGTCATTGTCACGGGGGTGTCATAGTGCATAGCGTTTCGTGTGTATTTCAGGGTATTTCCATGAGACAGTCTGTGATGTCAATGTTTTCAGGGAAAGACCTGGCCCTGGGGCGCAGTTGGTAGCGTGCTTGACTAGTTAGCATGCACGAAGCCATGGGCTCGCTCCCCGGTGATGTATTAGACAGCATGCTTGCAATCCCAGCGCTCAGGACGTGGAGGGTCAGAAATTTGAGATTATCCTCTGCCACATAAAGACTCCGAGGCCAGCCTGGGCTGCATGAGGTTCTGTTTCAAAAATAAAATAATGAAATAAACAAATAAGGCTGCAAACCTTTAATATCTTCGTATTTAAATAATCTGAAAATAGCCCGTCTGCTTTGCATATAGGCTTGTCAGAGATAATTAAAGGTCCAGAGTCACTACATTCTTGTCAACAGGGAATGCAGACCATTTTTCCACGCGGTTTTATAATGAGCTATCACAGAAATGGGATCCGCTTACAGTCACGGTTACATACCCTGTTGAGCCCTTATGGGTGGCTCCCAGGAGGTGGGTCCTATTTTAGGAAGTCCTTTTGCATACCTTCCTCTCTGAGTGGGGCTCTGGTACTTTTTAATTGAATTTAGAGAAGATGTTAAAAATGTATAGCCTTCAGACTTGGCCTACCGCGGCTGCCGCAAACCTCGTGTTGTTTGTCCTTACACGTGGTATTTTAATTTACACCCGGCTGTCAGATCCGTCCACCCTTCCCTTTAGCATCTTCTCGCTTTCTTTTAAGTGCCAGTAAGTTGTTAAATTGGATTTTAATTATCTGTCCAGCTTAAATGTCACCGCTTCCTAACACTCCCTCTGATCTCTGCTCTCCTTCCCCAGCCTCATTCGTGGAAGGTGGCATCAACCCTTTTGATCCTTGCAGTGAGAAGTAGGAGAGCGGCATCTGGATGCCCTTCTCATTTGCATTTCGCTCCCAGGGACCCAGGTTGAGTCTCCTCCAAGGTCTGAGAGCAATCTGTAGTTCCTCTCTGGGCGGAAAGGACTCTTATCCTTTGTCCCTTTTCCAATTTGACTCTTACCCTTCCTGTCTGTCTGAAAAAAAAAAGTGATCTTTCATATTAAAGAAGTGATCGAGGGCCCTATTTTTCCATTTATTAATGTTTGTACTTTGTCTTTTGCTGGCATTCATAGTCTTTTCCACACAGAAATGGTTTGGGGGGCCAGGGAGATGGCTCAGTGAGTAAAGGCGCTTGCCACCAAGCTTGACGAAGTTGGGTTCCCTAGGATTACATGGTAGAAGAAGAGAATCAGGCTTCCACATACATGTGCCTGCATGTGCTTGTGTACACATGTGCACACACACTCTCTCTCACACACACTTATGAATGCTCTCCCACTCAAATGCACTAAAAATCTTTAAAGAAAAAAATTTTGATCCATGGTTGAAATTCTCTTTATTCTTATTTGCTTTGTTAGATTTACGTGATATTTAGAAAGGTCTCTCCTACTCTGGGGTTCTGAAAGAATTCCTCGATGGCTTCTCTGTTCCATCTTCCTTCCTCCTTTTGTTTCATTTAATATTTGATACAGAGCGGAAGGCTGGGGCTAGCTTGCTTGCTGCTGAGAGCTTCCTGAGCCTTCGTGTGCCACAGCAGTAGCGCTAATTCTGATATATGTGAACCGCGGTTCAGCACCCAAGGGACGGCATCCAGGACCCTTGCGCTGTGGATGGAAAGTCTTTATGGCTGCTTTTACCAATTCTCCCCAGGGCTCCAGGGCAGACAGTGGAGATCTGTCCTTCTCCTTGGCCTGGATCGGAGAGCATATGGCTACTCCCTAGAATCCCTGGATGTCCTACATCCATGCTGCAGCCCCCACACCACCTACCCATTGGAGCTGACCATGCGAGAACATAATGGTCTCCATATGGGGTTAGACAACACCTAGAAAACCAACTTCTAAGTTCTCTGAAGTGGTTGAAGAGGAATGGCCCCTATAGGCTCATAGATTTGAATGCTTGGTCACCAGGGAGCGGCACTACTAGGAGAGGTGGTCTTGTTGGAGCAGGTGAGCACTGGGGGTGGGCTTTGAGCGTTCAGAAGCTCAAGCCAGGCCCACTGCCTGTCTCTTCCTGCTGCCTGAGGACCCAGATGTAGAACTCTCAGCTACCTTTCCACACCATGTCTCCCATGGTGACAAGGGATTAAACCTCTGAACTGTAAGTCAGCCCCAATTAAGTGCTTTCCTTTATAAGAGTTGTCTTGGTTATGGTGTCTCTTCACAGCAATAGAAGCCTAAGGCGCCAAAGATGTCCTGAGATTGGTAAGGATAAAGAACATATGGCTATTTAAAAAATTATAAAAAACTCAGTACAAGAGGGAAGATTCTTCATGGAGTGGAATTCCAGCTAGACACACAGAAGCTTCTTTATTCCCTGGGCTTTTCACACTGGAAAGCCTGGCATGAGAAGAGGTGAGACCCCATATTGGGAGGCGCACGCAGAGGCTGGGCTATGCAGTGAGAACAGAAAGAACCGCTGTCCATGAACCCTTCCACACACTGCGGGAAAGACTTGCATGGGCATTTTAGTACATACAGATACACACAGTTTTTTTTTTCCAAAAACAAACAAACAAAAAACCCCCAAACCAAAAACAAACGACAACAAAAAAACGATCCCATGACTTTTTATCAGAATCACAAAGAACGCCCTACAAACCAAACACGGTCTGTACACCTGCTTGCAGGTGACACATTGACACACGGTTCCCACAGGGAACACAAGAAACAGCAACTGTGTCCGGTCTCATTCAATGTGGTATTCACAACTTTCCTCTGGAGATTAGAAGCCCGTGGTAAGTCTCTTGCTCTCACCAGTTAAGAAGCTATCAGAAAAAAAATCTGGGGGTGACTACCTCAGGACCTGGGACATTACGCATGCCTGCTACATCCCTCAGACACTTATCTGATGCACGTTGGGAAATGTTAGTCTTCTGATGTGATCTCTGATTTGGGCTCTGGTTGATGCTCTACCGTTAGTGTCCCATTAGTTCCAGGTCCACAATTAATTGTTGCTCGAATAACCTCATATGTTTGCCCTGTAGGTAATTACAGTGGTTACTGTTCAGTGAATAAATGGTCCATTGTGTTTACAATGGTCTTGGAATAGAATGTATGCCCCAGGTCTAAATCATGTTGGGTGCAAAATATTAACTGGAGCTGGCATTTTCTGCACCATTTGAGATAATACACACTTTGATTGGATCGCATTACTGTTTCATGGGCTTTAGTGTCCTAAAACTTTCTTCCACGGGAAGGCTGTAGGGGTCTCATAGTACCGCAGAATTTCAGAAACTAGAAATCATGTATGTGGTTCTTTGTCTTACCCATGCACTGAGCAACTTGGTTCAAACCAAGTAAATCAGACACTCTGGACAAAAAGGCCAAGTCGTAGTCATATTTAAAAACATGCTGGGCTTTTTTTCTTTTTCTTTTTAGAGGATGGGTGCTGCTGAAGAGACAGCTCAAAGGTTAAGAGCATTTGTTGCTTTTACCCTAGGATTGGATTCCCAGCACCCACATGGCAGTTCACAACTATCTGTAACTCCAGTTCCCGAGACCTGACACCCTCTTCTGACCTCCATGTATGCTGTACACACATGGTACACATACATATGTGCTGGCGATGCACCGATACTCATAAAATAAAATGAACCTTAAAAAAAAAAACCAGTTCGTGGAAGAAAGCCCAGAGAGAGCTGAGAAACCCTGATAGGCTCAGTGCCATGGTCCTGAATAAGCAGACAGCTAACCTAAGGTGGAAACTGAGACCCACCAAAGCTAAGGAAAGATGGAAGCAGAATTCGAACTCAGGTCTAAAGAACACTCAGCACCAGTGTTCATTCTTGCCTTGACGCTGCCCATCTGCTCCTGGGTGGTCCCCACACTTTCCCCACGTCTGACAATGCCGGGACTTCTAGCATTAGCGCTCTAACTTGAAGGCCTATATTTCTGGTCCTCCTGCCTTATTTCTCTCAATCAAATTAGTTTCTGAACAGACTGTGATGGAAGTTTCCAGATAATCCCAAACCACAGACTTACTGAAGAGAGGATTTTAAATTTTAATTCATAGATTTGCTTCATCTAGTTTCCCTGCGATTGTTTTGAGACTTTGGCCCATACAGTACCTGCTTTGGGAATGTGTTGAAATCAGGTTCGGTGGCCTTTTATAGAATCAACTTTGGTAAAAGTTCCACAGAGGCTGGGAAAAAATGATTCAATCTCTGGATGTAAGCTACAGAATTCTTTATTAGACTACTAATGAATAATAGATACAACCAGCTTAATTATGTTACTATTGTATGGTTCGCGTGTTTGTTTACTTGATCTATCAAAGCTGAGAGGCTTGGTCGGTTCCCCTCCATTGTCTCCCACCACCTCCTTGCATCTCAACAGGTCTGGTTTTTGTTGCCT